TTTTTATARATCCTAAGCTTGCTAAAGAATGGCTATAATGTGATACCTATTTATATATTATATTACAGTATTATATTGTAATACTGTAATATTGTAATATTGTAATATATATAATATTATACAATATAATATGTATTCTTAAATATACCCTTTTCCATTACTTTACCAACAAATACCCGTGGCCTAATTCTCAGTTATCAACTTTGATCAAATTTGATTTGTTCAAATTGAATTTCATTATTTTTTTAAAAAATTCTATAAAATTATGTAATTTATGTTTATTTATAAACATAAAATAAAAATAATGAACAAATATAAAAATTATACTTAAATATAATATGTATTCTTAAATATACCCTTTTCCATTACTTTACCAACAAATACCCGTGGCCTAATTCTCAGTTATCAACTTTGATCAAATTTGATTTGTTCAAATTGAATTTCATTATTTTTTTAAAAAATTCTATAAAATTATGTAATTTATGTTTATTTATAAACATAAAATAAAAATAATGAACAAATATAAAAATTATACTTAAATATAATATGTATTCTTAAATATACCTTTTTCCATTACCTTCCAATACCCGTGGCCTAATGGTTAAGGCAGCAGCGGTATTTCCTGCTGGTACCGAGTTCAAATCAATCTGAAATTKTTTGCGTTTTCAACCGTTCTARTACAATAAATGCCRCCACGCGCTCCTCGTAGGAGCGAGGTCAAATAAAAAGTGTATAAAAATTTCAGGGGAACGTAAGATTAAAAAAATTAAAGAAAAATTATTAAAAATAAATTTGTTCAAATATAGTTTAAAAATAGTTTACATTTTTTGTAATTTTAACAGATAAGTCTAGATTTTTTGTAATTTTTAACATAAAAATATAAGGTCGGTTTTTTTTAAAATGATTTTTTATGATTTTTAATGTTGATAAAAAATAAAAGTGTCCTCAACGTGCCCACTTACTACTAATATGCATACTGTTTTTATACAATTATTTTGTTTTGTTATTAATGTATTGTATACAATATACATTATCATCATTCCCTCACAACATTAGGTACCTACATTATTTATAAATATAATTTTTAATTTAGATCTTACTAAGGCACTATAAGTATTCTATAGTGCTCAAAATCTTACTAAAGGGAATGGAAGATAAGTTATTTTCTATACCATGGCCATGTATAATATGTTAAATATTAAATAATATAACATTATGTACTAAATAATGTAATGCTCCACATTTTTTAATTTACCGCCAATTATTTTTTTTGAAATTATTAAAACTACGGTCTGTCAGCTCTGTTTGCTGATAAAATAGTTGTAATCAGTTATAAACAAGGCTCGGAACTTTAGGCATTTGCATATTTGTTTAGAAAGTGCATATTGAACTTCTGGTTCGATAAAAAATTTGATCCATAGCACGTATATTTCAAATACAAAAATTTTTGTTGCATAATTTTGCATATTTTGTCATCTTTTGTACGAATTAGCATATTTTAGGTTTTAGAACATTTTTATGCATATTTCATAGATTTAACGAAAACAATTTTTTTTTTTACAAATCTATAGTTACCTAAACAAAAATATATTAGATATTTTACATAATAAATTCATCAAAAAATASGTCAACGTCTAATTTTGTATAGCTCCCAATGTATTTAACATTAATATTGATATAATATCTAGTACTGAGAAATGAGAACTCGTAATAGTGATTGCCGAGTATCGACCGGCCGGCCCGTATTAATTTTTATCCAAATTTACCAGTTTACCACGGCATTCATATATGTTTTATCATTATAAATAGTATAATCCTAGGTAATTTGTAAACAATTGTGTTTAACCACTATGTCGTTATCAGCATTTATATTTTATACACAATATTAATTCTGTTCATTGTAAATATTACGGTCTACGTGTGTCGGCTTACGAGTGATTTCAGTACAGTGCACATTAGTCAGTTGTTAGTATTTCGCCTGTCGCGTGTCGCAGTGATCATATTTTTATTTAATATTTCTGATTTAACCATKCCTAAAGATAAGCAACCATTATCTCGACGCCTTAAAACTTTAAGTTCCAAGTTCGGCGAAGACGTGTTCTCTATTTATAATGTAGTTCTATTTTGCAAACTTTGTGAAGTTAAAGTGGATCCCGAAAGACGATCTAGTATTATACAGCACAATAGCACATCAAAACAGAAAAAAATCGTCGAGCTATAGAACGTCAAATAAATCAGAAAACAAAAAACAGCCAACAACTACTTACCAATCTAACGTCGAAAAAATCGACTTTCAATATGGATTTATGCAGAGCTTTTATATCAGCTAATATTCCGCTGAACAAATTACAAAATACAGAGTTTTGTAAATTCTTACAATTATACACACAAAAAGATGTACCCACTGAATCTACAATTAGAAAGTTCTATATTGATGATTGTTACGAGGAAATGATGGTAAATATAAGACAACGTGTGTTTTTAAAAAAAATTTGGATATCGATCGATGAAACGACCGACGCTGAGGGGAGACAAATTGCAAATGCCATAATAGGAACTCTAGAAGAAGAAAGAGCAACTGATATATTTTTATTAAATACCGACGCATTAGAAAAAACAAATCACTCAACTGTATGCAAATTTTTTGATAAATCGCTCAGTATTTTGTGGCCCGACGGAATCAAACACGATGATGTGTTATTATTTCTATCGGATGCGGCCTCCTATATGGTTAAGTTTGGAAAATCACTTAATGCATTATACTCAAAAATGGTGCATGTGACGTGCGTTGCGCATGGTCTCCATAGGACTGCTGAAGAGGTACGTGGACATCTAATTTGGCACGATCGATAAAATTATATCGAATGTCAAAAWTTTTTTTAAAAAAGCGCCATCGCGTGTTCAGATATTCAAAACACATGCCCCGAATATCCCCTTACCACCAGAGCCAGTAATCACACACTGGGGTACGTGACTAAATGCTAGCATTCATTACTGCGAATATTACAAACAAATTTGTGAAATTGTGGAAATGTTAGACTCGGAAGACGCTTCAAGTATAAAAATAGCAAAAAAAAATTTGGTAAAAACATGTGTCAAAAGTAATCTGGTATACATAAAATCAAATTTTAAAGTAATTTCAGATTCAATTTTAAAATTACAAAAAAAAAATTTGCCTTTAGCTGAATCTTTGGATATTCTAGAAAAAGTTCAAGTTCAGTTACAAATGGCTCAGGGTAATGATGGGCAAAAAGTATACAAGAAATTCGAAACTGTCTTAAACAAAAACAGTGAACTTAAAATACTAAAACAGATATCAAAAATAATTGGCGGAGAAAGTGACAACATGGATGCTCTACCTGAAGATCTTACCACAAATGATTTAAGTTTTTACAAGTTTGCTCCAATTACATCAGTTGATGTGAAGAGATCTTTATCGATTTATAAGAATCTCTTGACCGACAACCGAAGATCATTTAAACTCGAGGACATAAGGAAACACCTCTTACTTCAGTGMAACACGGGTAAAAAAAAATAACCTATCTAATTGTTTAAATATTTATTGATTCTATTTTTTTTAGTAGGAAATCAAGAAGATTGAAGGTATACAATATACATACAGGAAGACAGCAATACATAGCAGTGTGCAAAAACTTTATTTATTTATTTTTTAATTTTATTTTCTCATGTACTTACATAATTAAAAATTTTTTTTTATTATTTTTTATTCAATAAATTGCATGTTTTTACATATTTTCCAAATTATTACTGCATATTTTACCGCATATTATGATGTTTTTTAACGCATATGTATGCGCATATTTGAGTACTTTTTAGCTCATAAAGTTCCGAGCCTTGGATAACGCTTGCGTTCCCTACTTGTTATCTTCTATACTGTGACCTGTGACTATATTGTAAGTGCCCGCGGAGTGACTCGACCCGGTCGACCACTATTAATGTTATTTTCTTTTGTATAATATTATATTATCCGCCGTGGCGCCGTCTGCATTATTGTAATTTGTAGTTATCCGTATCTTCACACACAGCGTACGGACGATTATTTTAAAAATAATAAAGAAGATAATGAGAAATGAGAATGCACTTTATATTTCTTTTTCTAAATTTACATTTTTTTTTGTCGTTTAGGCCATCTAAGAGTTTAGAGTATCACAATACTTTACTGACTTATAGTAGTTATGTGGTACATGGACGTTTTCCCCCCAGAAATCTTAACGGTACTGGACGTTTCCCCCCGACTCAATATATATATAAATATATTTAGACATAATAATAGGTTGTTTGGTTTTACCCGAAATATACGATCATCATAATATTATATTATATCTATCGATTATCATATTCTTACGTATTTTGCATAGGCGGTCCTACGAGTGCAGCCACTGCAGCCTGTGCTTTTTTTTTTTTTTTCTTATTATCGACGACGCTGCCGGAACTGCTTGCGCATTACGTCAACAGCGCCGCCATCGTTTATTATACACTAAAAATGATAATGAATAATTACAAACATGCATACAATATTAACAAATACTATCCTCCTTTGATGAGCCGCTGAGCCGACTTATCGGGCCGACCGGAGTCCGCYACCCTTGCCATCCCGTTCCAGATTGCCCCTCTGTCCGCGGTCCTCCTTCCGTCACTTCATAGCTTGTCTGCTAGGCTTCTTCTGCCTGTCTGGTCCTCTCTTCCTCTTCTTTGAGAGTCAGGATCTGTTCAACCATCTTGTAAAAGATCCTGAACGTCTCCTCCGCGTTGTAAAGAATATCGGCCTTAACTGAGTGATTCAACGGCAAGTCCTCGAAAGCAGGGCCGCAGAGAATGGCCGGCATGTCCTCARCAGCTGGKKGGTGGCCTAGGCGCCCGCCAAGCTCCTCCCTTAGACCGCTYCAATACTGGCACTCAAAAAGGGTGTGGTTAACGGTGTCTGCGTCACTGTTGCAATGATGACAGCACGCGCTGTCAGCCCTACCCATCCGGTGTAGCTAATACTGGAAGCAACCATGGTCCGTCAGTGCCTGGATCATGTGATACGACAAAGGCACCTCCGGGACCGTTCTCCCCAGCCACCTACCGATGTCCGGGATCGCTAGCCATGTCCACGATGCCTTAGTCGTGGAAGACCATCTAACTTGCCACTGAGCGACCGTTATCCTCCTTTCTTCCCTCTTGATAGCGTCCTTGGAAAGGGGGGGTGGATYCCCAGGAAGTGCTAGAGCGTGCGTCCGGACCCTAATTYTTAGTCTCTCTTTCRCTAAGAGATCAGCTGGAGGCATGGCGGCTAACAACAGCGAAGCCTCGTCTGACACCGTCCGGTAAGCCTGGATAACCCTTAGAGCAGCAGACCTCTGCGGTCGAATGAGATTAGCCCTGGTCCTAGCGGAGGCTGATACAGGGTTAATCCACACAGGAGCGGCGTACAACAGCTGGCTTTCTACCACCGAACAGAGAAGCCTCCTCTTCCATTGGCTTGGACCGCTTATGTTGGGCACAAGCCTAGCCAAAGCGAGTGCTGAGCGTGAGGYTTTCTTGGCAACCGTATCCACATGTTTTGCAAACGTCAGCCTTTGGTCCAGAATAACCCCGAGGTACCGCAGCTGCTTATTTATCACTATTGGGTGTCCACCTATCGTCAGGTTCGGGGGAGTATATGCCCATCTCCTAGTCAGCATTACGGCCTCGCTCTTTTGATGRGCGAGCTGAAGGCCTCTACTTGACATCCATCCATCAACCTGCTCCAGAACAGGGTTGATTAAGCCTTCTAGTAAAGATCTCGTTCTTGCCACACCAACAACAGCCAGATCATCAGCAAACCCAATCAGATGAACACCAACCAGCCTGTGCTGCACCGGACATTAGTGACATTGTTTGCGCCGCCAGCACTTGTTTGAGCAGTTTGCTGAGCGACTCGCGAAATGTGTGGGAGCAAATGACAATAAATAATACTAGAAAGAAATATGGTATACAGAATATATAATAATTGGTAATCGGAAAAAAAATCCCTGGAAAAATAATCCCCAAAGCAACTATTAAAAAAATTACATAATTATAATAATATACCTAATTAGTATATTAGACTATAAGAGTATGTATATTAGTTGGTAAAAAAAAAAAAATAATAAATAATAATAATAATATAATATTAGTTAGTTAATCAATAAAAAAAAAAAATAGATATATAATTAGGTATAGTAAAATTATAGTCAGATTCGGTTCAGTCAGTTCGTTTTCGTATACATATTGTTAGGCAATTTTAAATATAAATTTTGTAAATGTATTTTGGTCGGTAACAGTCATATTTATATATTTATTTATACGTGTTCTTATTTATACATTTATATTTTATTATTTTATATTTTTTTCATACTTAGTACAACTTTGAATTTTTAAATATAAATTTTGTAAATGCATATTTGTTGCATATATTAATGATTTTTACTTCATATTTGTTGCATATTTCAATGATATATATAAATATATTAATTAATAATATAAGTATAAAGATATAATATAAGATAATATTATTATTTTTATTATTATAATTTAAACAGTGTTGGTGAGTTGTGGCACAAACCCTAAATAACGTACGAGTTGCGGCCCGGATTTATGAAAGGTACGTACGAATTGCGGCCATACAATAATGTATATATTACATATATATTATAAATTATATGTCTATATATAGTAATAGTATATAAACATCTTTCAATTTACGAATCTTACAATAATCGTAAGATTAATTAGAATAATTATTATTCAAAACAATTGTAAAAATACAAAATATTATATTTAATGTTTATTGAAATAATTTATTATAATTCAATAACACCTAAAGTATGTAATACAGTGCAAGACATAACGGTCCACAAAAAAATGTGTTTACACTATTGTCAATCTTATTATCACAAAAAAATTATACATTATTATAAGATAATATACATATTGTTCGAGCTAAATAGAAGCTCGCTGTCTATTTTGTGTCCAATAGTATTCGTTCTATTATTCAATAGATTGGGCATTATAAGCTATTATATTATAATCGACATAATCAAAAATTTGTTTTTTATTATTGTGTAATTGCCATTCCATTGATGTACCACTTCTGTTATTTTTTTTAGGTATACTACATTTTTTTCACTTTTATGTCTTGATTTAGTAAAAAAAAAAAATAGCATAAATGTAACATGTACGCGTAAACTTCTGCTAGCAGAAAGATGCAGCGATGCACATAAAGAGCACTAGAATTGCTAGAATATTCGTACCCCCCGGTAAGAAGTTTAAGGAGGTATAGATATCCTAGGAATATTGTTCAGGGGGTACAAAATTGCTAGGATATTAGTACCCCCCGGTAAGAAGTTTAAGGTATAGAAATATCCTAGGAATATTATACAGGGGGTACAAAATTGCTAGGATATTCGTACCCCCCCGGTATGAAATTTAAGGAGGTATAGATATCCTAGGAATATTATACAGGGGGTACAAAATTGCTAGGATATTTGACCCCCCGGTATGAAATTTAAGGAGGTATAGATATCCTAGGAATATTATACCGGGGGTACAAAATTGCTAGGATATTCGTACCCCCCGGTATGAAATTTAAGGAGGTATAGATATCCTAGGAATATTATACCCGTGGTACAAATTTCCTAGGGTTTTCATACCCCGATGGAGGTATTATTATACTAGGATATTTGTACCCCCCGGTATATAATTGTGGGGGGTAAAAATATCCTAGGATTTTTGTACCGGGGGTACTATTAACCTAGGAAAATTATACCCCCGGGGGGTATTATTATTTGGAGGTATAGTTTTCCTGTCACACCGGTCGCCAAAAGCTCCGCGCAAGCGCATTTCGACGTCGGACAACCAACGAAGTGACAAGACAGGTGTCCAACGGTCACACTGCTGATCACAAGCGCGAAAACGGCTCAAGTTCAAACAGACATTTTAACCGCCCTCCACGTTTTTTTTTTTATCARTTGACATAATAATATTAATTATAATATTATTCATAACTGTTTAAAATTAAATAAGATATAAAATTCCAAGTAGAAAAATGTAATAAAATGTTTATTTGTATGTGTGTATGTATATGTATTTATATGTATGGTAATGATATTGGGAATTTGGGACATAAGTACATACCTATGGGTATACTATAATTTAATGTGCCGCACCTGATGTAAATTTTTGGGACCTCCTATGGTATTTTGATACAACTTGTGTTAACGGTYGTTATAGAAATAAAAAAAAAAACGTAGAATTAAAGTACCTATATTCTTACCAGAACACCTCCGTTATTTCCACGTTCCGTATATGGAACGTATTTGAGTTGACTAAAATTGGTATAGGTAGAACCGTTGAACAAACAATATTTCGGAAGGGTAAAATAATAAATTTACAACACTAGTGTGAATTGATTATGAAAACATTTGGCTTTTTATTAATGCTCTACAGATGAGCAACTCAAGTGCATCAATCAAAATTTTAAATTATAGAGCAGGCGCTTTTCGTAATAATTTAGATAAAGATGATAGGTTAAAAAAAGCGGGTATGTCGTGAATGTCGCTCTGCTGTACAGTAGGTTACTGTAATGTATGGGATTAAATTTGAATGCAATGATAGGTATCATTGTATACGAAAAACGATTCTGAACGGAGATGATTTGTCAGTCTAGGATATATTATATTTAAATATTGTCATATATTCTATTTTGAAACAAATATTTTATTTTTCAACTGCTATTGTAATAATATGTTAAGAGCCTTGTATAAAATTTTAAAGATTTTCTACCTAAAAAATAAATTTTTATCGATTTTAATTTAATAACAAAAACTAATAATGATTGAAAATTGCATATACCTATGAATAGTTCAATTAAGGTCAAATTTTTTCAAAAATTTCATGGTGAATAGAACATAGGTACTTATATAAACATTCGGTGAAAATTTCATGTAACAATGGTCCATCGTTTTAAAGTTACATAAAAAATCAAAATTGATTTTGTCGAAAACTAGCTGATTGTACGTACAATTTTCTGTTTTTCCGTTAATTTTTAGTTTGTTTATCCCGATTATTTAGAAAAATATTAAGAATTTTTTACTTTTGATCCCCCAAAGTTTCAAAACGTAATGATAAACACAAAAAAAAATATTCATGGTTTTGACGAATTTTTATCAATATTTGAACTTCAAATGCTAATAAAAAAAATTGTGCCCATGTATTCTTATAATTTTTTATTCACTATAAGAATAACTTATGAGGAACTCTGTATTAAATTTTCAAGTATTTTGATAGGGCCAAAAAATTTTATCGACACTTCAAAAAAAAATTCTCAGACAAATTGAAAATTTCAGTCGTCTATAAATATCTCAAAAAAGTCAAAATATATTGAAAATTAAATCATGTCAAGAAAATGCCAATCTAAATAACAAATAAAATTTTCAAGTATCTACGACTTTTACTTGGGTCACACAATCAATTCATTCATCGATTATTATTTGAAAAAATGTTGGAAAAATTGCATCTTTTGAAACTATATGCTTATTTTTTTGGTTCAATTTGTTTTAATTTTTAAGTAATTAATTAGGTATGCATTTATTTATATGAATAATCATTGAAAACTTAGATAACTTGATAACTGAAATTAGTAGGCTAATAAAAAAAATCAGGAAAAGTCCCCATTACCGTCGGTGAGTAAAAGTTTTATAGTGTGCCTACCCAAAACAAATCCTAGCTACGCCCCTGATCACATTGTAGTCGTATTACAGTCTGTCAATCTACTCTACTGCAGAGCATGACAAAAACAGTATAATTAATACCTATACTACAATACCTAATTAATAATTATCGTATTATATCGTCGGCTAAGACGTAATACCTCGTAAGTCAAAAATATTCATTTATAAGTTAAAAAAGAATTATGTATAAAATATTATTGAGTCTTACGCAATAAGTCACAAGTCACAACCGGTGTACAATCTGTAGCTGTACGCCTGTACTTATAGATCGTACAATGTACTATACAGTATACAATATATAGCAATTTTATTTGTCTTGATTTCAACGTTTTCGTTATTGACTATTATTATTAAATATTAATAAATAATAATACATTATACGTAATTTATCGTTACCGCACCGCCCTATTCCGCATACCCATTATAATATGCTCCGTCATCCGTCTAATAATATTTAAAAAAAAGCCGGGTAAAACCACCGTCTACCGATAAATATTATAACTGTTATCTGTGTGTAAAACGAATTCTATGTTTAGAGTGTTTACTATTTCGACATGGATATCGATGGCAATGAGCGAAGTGCGGGGCGCGCGACAACGGTCTGGTGTTTACGATTATTACATAATATACATATAGATTTGATTTGATTAGATTTATTTTATTTTATTATTTCGTGATTTTGTCTTCTGCAGTACAGACATTCGTTTCAGAGTTTCAGACATTTCAGTTGTGTTTTGGTATTTACTCTTTATCGTAAATGATCGTTATCCATCTGGCATTTTCCGTTTGCATTTTGCGACATTTGCAGTTCGCTTCATAGTTCATAGCATTTTACGTACTGTGTAAGCTACACCAGGTAAGTATACAATTTCATTCGTAATACATAATTTAGGTATATTTGTTATTGTATAATAAAATATAATACCTAATGAATAATAGGTACTTATTATATTTTTATATTTTTTTTCCAGGTAAACCAGTAATGCAATTATACAGTTTTATGAACCTTCTATTTTTACCTATTTTAATGTTATAAACTTGAAACTCATTTTTGTTTTTATATTAGATAATTGGTTTTTGTTTGATCATTTTTTAAATTTTTTTTAGTTATGGAAATTAAATTTT